GGACGGTGGTATTTGCGCCATCGGCGTTTGCGTCGGCTGGCTGGCCTGCTGGGGGCCAGGCGCCGCCTCCGATCTTGGCAACCAGCCCCTGCAAGTTGAGGATGAAACGGAAAATCAACACGGGGATCTCTAGAGGTCCGCATTTAAAAATATCAGGCGTTTGGTTATAAACAAAAGTGATAACAGCATACGGCTATTTTGTCTAATAACGAATATTCGAATAGAAATATTTTCACGTTTACGTACGCTAAACAGCTTTAATGCGAGAACCGTACATAGGTGATATTGTGAAGCCAAACAAACACAATCACTACTTGTCCCGCCATCGCATCCACAAAATTAAAAATCAATTTAATTCAGTTTGTAATAAAAATATTTTTTTTTATATGAATAAGAAGAAGAAACGTTTATTCACGGTCTAAGCACAATAGATACATACAACACTTAAAAATTATAATGTAACTACACAATATGTAAAATAATATTAGATATATCTATTTATTCTCTAAGTATGTTTTCAACAACAAATCTTTTAACCTTAATTTATTTTTTAGCCGTGATAGTGTCCTGGCGCTCGCCTTTAATGCAATATACTCGAGCAACCTGAGTTCGATCCCCGGTGCCGGCACCAATGAAATGGGTAATTTTAAGTGCTGAGTTATCACGTGCTCAGCGGTAAAGAAAAACATCGTGAGGAAACCTGCGTATTTTCGACATTATAATTGAAAAATTAAATTACATATTTAATTTTAATTAAATATTTCGAAGATATGTGAAATCCACCAATCCGCAGTGGGGCCGCGTGGTGGACTATGCCTTGATACGCTCTGTACAGAGGAGGCCTTTAAAGGCCTCCTCATGCATGTGTATAGGTTGTTACTTTATACTTATTAACAATTATAACTTTATATTTATTGAGATCTATAATAGGTTTCCTAAAAATATAAATCAAGTCATGATACCTCAGAGCCCGGGCGGTCGCTTTTAATTTATATTACTCAAACAACTAAGTCCTAATTCCGATGTTTCAATAGTTTCGTTCAAGAAATTATCAGCCAATGATTAGCGGTGGAGGCAAACATCTTTGCCTAAACACCTACACTTTTTAAATTAAAATAATATCTCAATGTAAATAGTAATAAATCGTAGTGATGAAAATAAAAAAAATGTGTGTGTAAAAATCTGCGAACATAAGAAGTTATAGGCACTATAATTCTTTAGTGTAACAAAATAAAAGTAACTAAACATTTTATCCCGTGTGCCATTACTGTTTGTGAAAAAGAAGGCATTAAATGCAATTGATAACGGTTTAATTAAATACCTTCGAATTATAGGTAAATGTCAAAAGGTTGCCACGGTTTTTTTTTAATACTTTTGTATAAGCTAACTCTACTCTATACTATAATAATGTATTTCATTAGTAAATCGGTGTTGTGTGGTGTCTTGAATAAATGGTTTCGAAAGAAGTAGGTAATATTACTTCTAAAATATTCCGACGACTGTATTGCACTTTTTTAATCGGCCTTTTGGAAACCGGAAAACATAAACCAGTCGAAAACGGAACATTGATCTCGTCAGCTGTCTGCCCGTGTCGATCCGCTTGTAAATGTGCTATTTCATTAGTTCTCCAACATTGCAAACAGATCGCCGAGTGTTTATTTCGATAAAGAAACGAAAGGAAATCGCGCGCGGTCAATCGGGTTTATAATACGGCCATGGGTGATCGAGAGTCGAAAGAGCTCGACGTGATGGATTGCTAGAGTGCGATGATAACCAGACGCGTCGCACCAGTCGCCAGTTGGCTAGATTGCTTCCGCAGTGAACGCAGACGGATGTCTGTTGGCAACATTTTTATGTGAAAATTTGTCAAGCGAGAGGGCGGTTCACTAGATGTTAAATGATATTCATTTCGTCGCCCATTGACACCCCCATTTAAAAAAGTGGGCCCCAGTTACCACATTAAGCAGACGAACTTCCACTTGACGCAGGTTATTCTGCGAGCCCGTGGCACTGGAGCACTTCCTCGGACTGCCCATTCATGCAACAGCAGAAACCTTTGCGTGACCCTACCGTAGTTAAAATATAAATACCGACCACACTTATTCCTCACTTCGTTTTCACGATAGAGAAACTCATACCCGTCTCTCCGCGCCAACGAGCAGTATTACCAACTCTTCAACAAAAATACTCCTAAAGCAATTAAAAAGCCCACTAAAATCCCCTAAAATTCACTAAATTCACACCAAAACTTTGTTTGAGGTTTGAATTTACCGCCTAAAGAACATTCATCCATTGTAATTATTTTGCTCCAAAATTTAGGAAGAAAACTCCTAAGTTGGCATCCGCGCCGACAGGCAAAGTCGTAAAAGCGTCGATGTGCGTTTTTATTGGCGCGGTAAGTTTATCGCGTGATTAAACGAAGCTCTTTGCGAGTGCATAGATAAGGGGCAATAAGTACGTCACGTAGGCGAAAATGTTCGATCAGCCAATAATGATGCAAGCAGTTTAGTTTTGAAACATTCTGCGGCGTCTTTGAAACCTAATGAGATAGAGCACTTATAAATTTCAACTTGCTAGGTTCAACTATTCCCGAGAAAATCGATGGTGACACACGGACAGACAGACGGACAAGAGAATGAATGTAAGAGAATGGTTTTTTTATGTGAAATTTACCAAACGAGCAGACGGTCCACCTGATGTTAAGTGAATACGGCCGTCCAAGGACATCTGCTAAACCCGAGGGTTTGCAGATGCGTTGACAACCTTTTTATGGAAATTGGGCTCCGGCTACCTCACTCACCAGACGAAACGCGAAAGTATTAAACTTCCACTTTACGCCGGTCTTCTGTGAGGTCGTTGTATTTACCCGGACGAGCCTGCCCATTCGCGCAACAGCCGAGGTTGCTGCGTGGCCCTATCACCGTAGAAGGTGACTGAAATGTGAAAAAAAATTACATTGAAAAAATCTCGAAAAGCCAGGGTATAAATCTGAAGGTCGAACGGACGTCGTTCATGCAATTCAGTTATGCCTATATAACTGAATTACCACCTTCAACTGGGTTGCGCACACTGGTGACCATGTTTAAGTCTAATATTATGGACTCTATAAAACGCTCCATTTACCGTGGCCTTTATGAGAAACAAGATAAAAAAGAGAAAAAAGAAAATCTAATCTTATTAAAAACACTAAACGCTCAATAGGGAATACGATTGTAATTAACTCGTCTCAAGGGTTCTCTGACTTAATTCAAAGTAATCTCGATAGTCTGTTTATGCCTCTAGTCCGCGCGTTATAGCTTGGTGTGGTGAGAGATGAGTTTGACGTGTCTAGAAATTGAACAACGTTAACTTGAATTATTACATAGAAAAATGTTCTGAATTAAAAAAAATATTATAATAAATTTATTATAATCATTATAATTAATTCGCTGGGAAATACGAAATTCATTGAGGATGTACCGAAAATATATTTCGGTAATTCATTTTTTTATCCATGATATCGATTTTATCCGTAAAGTCCATTGATATCTTTATTAATACAAATCCAGGTTTCAAATTTACAAAATTTAACTCGATTAATTTTATTTGTAGTCTGTGGTAAGACGACTCAGAGAACGTCACTATTCGTGCGCTCCTAACATCAAAGTATTGGCTTAAGTCTCGTTACCAGGCCATAAAATCTTTATAAAAAAAAAGCAATAAAGTACATCATTGCATTGCGTTAATTGTAGCGTTAGCTGTCACCCGCACCAAGATACAATGGACTATAGTCGGGATCGATCCCACTAAACACACTGTACAGTCGCAGTTAGCTAATGTAAACCATCGTAATTTGTGAAGTAGTGCTCAAGTTGATAATATATATGCTAAGTGGTTACTGTCGATCAAACACATCTGGCACACCAGGGGACAGGTGAATTACCCACATTTCATTTGGTCGATAACAATTCACGTGATGCAAACATGGAAAGGTGCAATGCAACAACCGTTGCATTGCACCTTTTGATAATGTAGGCCCCGGTTACATCACTCACCAGCCGAAACGCCGAATTATAACTCTTCCACTTCACGCCAGTCTTGTGTGAGGTCGTGGTACTGCCCTGACGGACCTGCCCAGTCGTGCAACAGCGAACAAATGCGTTGGGTGGCCCTACTGGTTGCAGATGATTCGATTGCAACCACTATCTACGCAATAACGTGCTATATTCCCCGGTCAGGCACATCACAATAATGCGAGGCACACTAAGTGGCACAGTGAGAGGCAAGTACAAGAATAATTAAGAAATCTTAAAGAGTAGTAACAGTTAAAAGCATCTCGGACAATGTTAGTTGTTGTGGTAACTCTGGTTCGGTAAACACACCGGTGCAGACGTCTCACCAAGCGCACAGCTAGCATATGTGCTAATTGCGAAACGTTCCGACCTGTGCAAACAATGACTGCACGGCGGATAGATGTTGCTGGTTGTTTCTCGCACTATTTTTAGACAGTCGCCAAGTGCATAATGTGTTGTGCTTTTGGTTATATGAAACATCTGTGCATTACAAAGTTTGATGTTTTCAGTTCAATTTGAATACACAGTGAATTTGCCAGCCGGTAACTGTTTGGTTAACTAAATAATCTATAGCAAACAGCTGATAATGAAAACGTCTTCACGATATGTCACTCTTCAAGGGAAATTACATCAGAAAACCAACAGTGGATCACTGTTCTTCATTCAAAATAAATTATTAAGAAGTAATTATTAAGAGTTAGCTTATTAACTCTCAAAGATCTTTCATACATGAAACTACAACGACTGTTTTGTACACCACTGTTTTAAAAAAACAACGAAATTTGGGGAGGAACCACAAACGTAAAAAAATAACATTTTTAATTCATTTGTAAAATAGAGGCGAAAAGTTATATAAAAAAAAAAGAAGCATCAATCGAAAAACATAAAAGTTACAAAAAAAAAACAATGCTTGTTTCACAATCAAGCGTCCGTGAGTGGCAAATTTTATTCATCATCGTAGTCATGCGCAAAAGTTTCCTCGGGAGCTTCATCGTGGATTTCCTCATGGAGAAACTCCTGATTAGACTCTACAGCACTTTCAACGGCCTTCGCTTGCTCTTCTACGTAAGCCGCCACATCGGCCTCAAAGGTCGCGGAAGGGTCAGCCATAGTGTGATGGGAATGATCCAATTTCCCACTGTCAGTCCCGTGACTCGAAGTGTTGAGTTTCAATGGGGTTATGAGAGGCGGCACGGCGTCGAAGAAGTTGCCTGGCTTCGGCTGCTCATCGCCTCCTGCCAGATGGGTATTAGTATCGGTCTCGTGTTTCCCTTTCTCGGTGAAGTATCTATCCCTGGGGAAACAAGACACATTTAGGCAACTGTTTATATGTGGATTACAAACCGATTTCCACGACGAAACCATCCGTCGAAGAAAATAGAGGTGATTCGTTGAAAATAATACAAACAATAAAATAAAAATGAAACAAAAACAAAATAAAACGTACCATATAAATCGTCAGCCGTCGTGAAATAGTGGGAAAATGTCAGCGGGCGCCATTTTGTTTTCGCCAACCCGAATGTGGCACCGTAGAAAAAATTTGTTTACCGTCGTGGTAAATGGAACTCGCCGTGCCAAACGATTTACCCGTTGGCTATAGCGATCAATTATCCACTTTAAAAAAATTCAACATAGTAACAGCAATCAGCTGATGTAAATTCTATTTGGAAACGGTCCAGTTGAGTTTAAAACAGAGCTGAGCATTCTTAAAATGCTGAAACTCTTTTGATAAAAAAAAGACAAAAATATACAAAAGAATTCCGAGATTTGAGCTCACATCTTAAAGTTTAAGATGAGAGCATATACAGACACAAGTTTAAGTAATGTATTTTAAAGAAAATTAAAAGAAAAGTAAAGTTCCCAATACATATCCCACCACTGGGCAAACCAATCAAACATGAATTATTAGTATCATATTTTCATCTTTCATGTGTTGAGTGAGTTCCAGTGTTTCAAGATGAACAATGCATCTTCAAAATTCACTTCAAACTTCACATACCAAAAGGTGAACCACCTTCTCGATTTGCAACTTTTCATATAAGATATTAAAAATCTTTATTGCAAAGAACATATATAATAATAATGATGCAGATAATGTAATCAAAACTAGGTATTAAAAACTAAAAATAATTAAGTTAGTACCAGATATCAGTCATCACACCACTTTCCCCATCAATCATCAATCAGACTAATTCAATATATCATTTTGTGGTAGTTTTTGACGTTCAATAAGAGCTTAAAATAAGCCTAAGTTGAATAAAGAAATTTGACTGACTTTGAATTGTAATCGTCAGAACCAAATAAGTAGTGTGTTACACACACACTACTTATTTAACATTTCAGATCCGCGACGGTCTAAGCCGAAACCCGCGAGTTAACATGTGTTACGCAACGAGTCAATGGCGTCACGTAAATTGCATGTGCAATGAATCATCCTTACTAATATTATAAAGGCGAAAATTTGTATGTATGGATGGATGTTTGTTACTCTTTCACGCAAATAATACTGAATGGATTTTAATGAAACTTTACAATAATATAGCTTATACATCAGAATAACACATAGGCTATAACTTATAAAGAATAACACATAGGCTATAACTTATAAAGATATTGTGTGAACTGTTCAAAATACAGGTGTTTTAACTAAGTAGGAAAAAATTCAGCCATCTGCGAAATATTCTGGTAATGTAATAAACAACTCATTGTAAATTCTCTTTGGCATTTATTTAATACATAATTGAAAGTGAAGTTTCAACATTTTCTCAACCCAGCTCGAGCGGTAGTTTCTTTGAGCAATCTGATGTTGTATATTTTGATACAATCACAAGAGCTTGTCCACTTAGCGCAAAGACTGTGCGTCTTTGCAATCGTAATAGATTGGACAAGTGCCAATAGCGGTGTCGAAAGATTGGCGTTTCCAGTGTCTGTTTATTCTATATAGACTAAAATTCATGATTGTATTGCCCAAGGTAGGAACATTCTGCCCCATTACTACTAAGGTAGGGCACAGTCCTTGAACTTTCTCTGTGCGTGGTTTTTATTGCTATATATTTGTTAGTTGCAAAATGGTTACCACGGCCACAGCCACTTCAAGCACCAGACGAAACGCAATAGTTAAGATACTTCAACTTGAAACTTGCGTTTTTGTCTGGTGAGCGAAGTAATTTTTAATAATTAAGTTTGAATCAGCTATAATTTAAGTTACATATTAAATCTAATTAAGGTAGCATCATATATCTGTGCGAAGAGTCAATATGTTTTACCAGCATTAAAGTTGAAGACGAAGTAGCATTGATTTTGTATTCATATAGCAAAAGATTTCTGGATAAGTGGTCCTGATCTGGTTCTGACAGATCTGGCTATATAAATATCTGTTCAAATAGCACAGGAAAACGTTTTTAGAAGCTATGAAATTTTACGATTTTTTTTAATTCCTTCGGAAAATCAACAAGGTATTTTTTTTTGAATGTCGATAATCAATCTTCTATGCGGATTGTCGCTAAAAACTGGTAGCTGGAAAACGCCTCGGGACCGATAGAAATAGAATATGGCCGTTGAAACTCCACCGAAAATACTAGTCAATTTGTGCACGTTACTTTTCTAATGTATTGCACCCGAATCCTTACTTCCTTACTAATATTATAAACGCGAAAGTTTGTATGTATGGATGGATGTTTATTACTATTTCACGCAAATACTACTGAATGGATTTTGAAACTTTACAACAATATAGCTTATACATCAGAAAGACACATAGGCTATAATTTATCCATATTTTTATGTATATCTGTCTTTCTGTCCGAATGTTACGCCTTCAGCCTATTCTAAGCAGACGTAGTCGCCGGCAGCAGCTCGTGCATAATATGTGACGTTACGATGTAACCGTATATGCGTTTGACGCGCGCGGAGACAGTGACTATTTGTGTGCGTAGCGCGGGAATGCGCTATTTGCGGACGGGGCTTCGATTCCGGCCATCGACCTCTGGTGGCGGCGCGGCTGCATAGCCGAGCGCAATGCTCCTCCCGAAGGCTAGAAGATAACAGTGTCTGTTGTCAGTCGAAAGACACGATTATGTCATGCGCTTGCTTTGCATCTAACTATGTATCATTTGGTCAGTTGTAAAAACATTCGAAGATAGTTTTGTAAACTGTTGCCATGAATACATACATTTCTCTGTCATATATTGATGGATTTAGAACGATGAGTTGTAATGGCAGAATAATTAATGATGAATAGTCTGTTTGGAGAAATCCTAAGAGTTAAATTATTACAAAAAAATTGAAGGCGGTATCTGCGTGCGAAACGATAAATATTGATGATTTATTAATACGTGTTGGTTAATATTTAACCATGCAATAAAAAGATGATGTTTAAATTGATCACTCGAGCGGTATGGCCTGCCCATTGCCCCAGGGCGCATACCTGCCCCCCAAACTTTTAGCTAATAGGAGTTCGAAAAAAACTTCAACTTCAACTGCTTAGAAAAAAGTGAAAAAGTGGGTAAAAAAAAAGAACGCGTTCATTCCAAATTCGAGTGTCACGATCAATCACAGTCGCTTACAACTTTTTATAGGTAACATATTACTTGTGCAGCGACGTGTGCATTGGTAAATCGATACATCGTTGCGGACGGGGCGTGTGGGTAGCCAAGCCGGTCCCACGCAGTTGAGAAGATCAGCTAAATCAGCGCAGTCTTCCGGGCGGCCGACGTTTGTCTCGCGAACTAACGAGTTGCATTATGTGCAGTTACGACGATGTCCCGCCATCCGGTGCATCGAGACGTAACCGTCGTTGCTTTTTTTTAAATTGAACACAGAACGACGTCCTGTCGGTTTCCGGCCAGGGTCGTAGATCATGTGTATTTTATTTTTATGGCAAAATTGTTTCAAACGGGAGCCCCTCGTTCAACAGTGGACGTCTTTTGGGCCCATGATGACGACGATGATGATGGTGGTGGTGATTGTGATGATGATTATTCCAGTAAATGCGCAAAGCCTGTCTTACAACAGGTTTAAGAAACTTATTAAAGAAAAACTTCATAAAAAGGGTTATTATAATATAAATGAGTACATTAATGATAATAACCCCTGGGAATGAGTTGATCGCTCCCGAGCCAGCAAAAGAAAAATTTGTTGTATGATATTTTAATTTTGTTGAGAAAAAAAATTGACAAAAAAGAGGATACCTATGGACTTTCTTTCGCCTGTTTCTTCATTAGAGGAACCTGATTACGAAACGGTGGTAGATTTAAAAAGACTGAATGAATCAATAAATCGATTGAAATGATTTTGATTATGTATTTTTTATTGGGGAGTGGCCATGGTTTCACTGTCATTCCGTTAGGCACGGAAAGACTGTGCTAGACTATATAGGACAGCATAAACGTAGATTATGAGATTTTATTAAACGTTGATGTATTGCCATTGTGAAGTATTAATAACAAATTATTCTAAAGTAAGCTAAATAGAGCATAGGCCACTGGGCCACAAAATCGAAAAAAAAAATAAGAGAAATGTTCAGTCCTTCGATAATTATACTCTGCTGAGTTATTAAATAACCGTTTCAAACTTAACAATAATAAAAGTACAATCAATGAAGAAGAAAAATCATTTCGGGTACACATTTACTAATAGTAGCAACACCATCGATATATATACATACATACAAATAAAAAGAAAATATATCCTTTAATTCTGCATCCAATTCTAGATACGGTAAGAATGGACAGTTAAAACATTTTATATACCATGTTATACGTGATCAGACACAAAACTAAGACACTTTTAGTTCTAAAAAATATTCAAAAATAAAGTACAGATGAAGAGTAGGTATATACCAACATGAAAAGCGACCTTCAACAAACAAGCGACAAAGAAAGGAACCTCCTGCCTTTTTTCCTCCATTAGCATGCTGTTCCGATGACCTACTATTATATCTATCGGTTAAGTAAAATAAGTTACTTCCTTGTCCATGGCGTGTGGCGTAAGTGTGTAAGTGGCTTAGTGACACTTGGACCAATTGATACAAAAACAAGTAACATTTAGTGCTAGTTATTGGTGACATTAGACGTAAAAATTAAACCAAAACAATAAAAATCTAAAGTATTTCATTTAGTATTAAGAAAATAAAATGTATACGGCCAGTCTCCCTATAAAGAAAACTTGCGAAACCGTCACCCACTCATGGTTTCACAAGACAGCGCTAAATGTTATATGTTTAACTAGCGGACCGGGCAGACGTTCTCCTGTACACAAGAATTAAATCCGAATTAAATTGTGAATCTTAACCATTGTCGAATCGACCTGAAGACACCCAAAGAAATTCATTAAAATCGGTCCAGCCGTTTAGGAGGAGTTCAGTGACATACACACATATAGTAGAATTATATATATAAAGATAAGGGTAAACTAAAAATTTAAAAAAACCGGCCAAGTGCGAGTCGGACTCGCGCACGAAGGGTTCCGTACCATTATCTATAAAGAGGGCAAAAACATGAAATCTGTTGTATGGGAGCCCCACATGATATAAATATTTATTTATTCTGTTTTTTAGTATTTGTTGTTATAGCGGCAACAGAAATACATCAACTGTGAAAATTTCAACTGTCTATCACGGTTCATGAGATATAGTCTGGTGACAGACGGACAGACAGACAGCGGATTCTTAGTAATAGCGACCCGTTTTACCTTTTGGGTACGGTACCTTAAAAATAAATGCGTTAAATCCGTAAATACCTATAGTTTATAATTGAATAAAGGGTAAACTAGCAAAAATTTCTTTTGAAATACTGTATTATGGCTTAGGTAATAGTGAAGTCAACTGAGTTTGACTTCTGTTGTTTTATGCGATGAGTAAAGAGTTCGGTAAACATTTACGATAAAAAAAAATCACTGGTCAACTTTATTACATGTTTAGTGACAAAAAAAACCCGTGAGTGTTTCTGTGTTGAAATTCAGTTGTTTCGCTGAGCTTGCAAACTCTTAAAAGCTTTTTGGGTGATGGATCCATCGACTAACTTAATTCGACGCATGATTAAGTTTTATTAAAAAATTCTAAACATTCGTTTAATAACCCATTGTGGTTGGACCCGTTATCATGTAACACTTTTAGCTTTTCGTCATTTGCAGTCGAAACGCGTGCTATGGAGTTTTGCCCCACGCAACGCCGAAGATGGCACGCACCGTTCCCGTCGTGAACTTTGGGCGGCACCAATGCAGTGTCCGATTATAGATCAGAGCGGCCGTAAACCTTTTTATTGCCCACGACAGACTGGAGCAGGGCGGAGACAAAGGGCCGCTCGGATACGGCCAACGTAGCCATGTTAGGTGTTGGGCACCACAAGTCCCGAAATAGACGCACCAGAAGGGCTGTCGCATACGACATTGTGAAACGCGGAAGAGTTTCGGTTAACAAGTCCATTTGTTTACTAACGAAAAACGAAACCGATTTCAAATATTTCGCTCTGTGTTCATTTCATAATTGATTTTCAGGAGTTCCCTAAGTATCCACGAAGGCTAAGATCCAATAACAATGAAATTACCAAAAAAAGAAAGAATCGTCAAAATCGGTTCCCCCATTCGAAAGTTCTGAGTTGACAAACAAACAAAAAAATACAATCGAATAAAATAAAAAAATAAAAATACAATTAAATTAAAAAGAAAAATGCAATTGAGGTAAAAAATACAATCGAATTGAGGACCTCCTCCTTTTTTGAAGTCGGTTGACATTAGGCCGACTTAGCACTTTCTTCGCGAGATAATTCATTCATATTAACGACTTAAAGTTACGCAATTACCGCACTATTCTATAGTAGACCATAAACATATAAAGAAGTATACATGTTTTTCATTTCGTATCGTGAGGGAGATAGATGATCGGTGTCTACAAGTCTTAAAAGTTGCCAAAGCAACTGCTATGCCATGGGCGATTTATACATCATCATTATCATCATCATTTCAGCCTGTTGGAGTCCATTGCTGAACCTAGGCCCGATTTATCCATAGGCGATAATAATCACGGAACATCAGCCGAAACGCCTGCGCGTTCGCCACCCTCAAAATGGAGGAAGTTTCAGTAAAATACCGTCGAATGAAACAACTTCACTCATTTTATTTTGTTTCATTTTTAACCGACTCCAATAGGAGGAGGCTATGGTTGTAGCTTTCGATGTCTTGAATACAATGCAACACTTCTTTATTATATCACATACAGAGAAATTAAATGCCGTCACCTAACTTCTTATCAGGAGCGACTTAGACATTATGGGATGACATCTCTGAAAATTCGCAGAAAGATCAATGACATAATGTTCCTGTACAAATTGCTACACTCTTACATAGATTCATCAGATATTTTAGAAAAACGTCAGTTATCCATACCTCGTTCTAGCAGTCGTCTTAAAAATCGAAATACATTTAGGTTACCTTTGTGTAAAACCGTTCACGGACAGCATCTCCCAATATATCGTATGTGCACATCAAGTAATGCAATTCGATTTAGCGTGGATATTTTTGCAGATTCTCTGGCCTCAAGAAGAAAAAAATTATATGATTTATTTTTATCATTGTAAGTTAAAGTATTGGCATAAATGTATTTTTTTTTAACCCTAGTTATATTTTAAGCTATTTTGTTTTATTTAGTTTTCTATTCCGTTTTTGTTTAGTTTTTCCCATTTAAATTTAATCTCTTTTTATATTACTTATTAAGATAAGTTGTATTACCTATTGTCCCTTTTCTGTTCGATTTAAATGCATGTTGTGTCTACATCTAGAGGAATGCACTTTTGTGTTTGGAATAATTGGAAGCTTATAATAACTTATTTAAAGGTTGTATTCAGTTTTGTAGACCTAATAAAAAAAAAAAAAAAACACATATGGACACGGGGAGACCTGAGGCGCGTGTACAGTAAACATTTTTATTTATTATTTTAAAACATTGCCCTTATTTTAAGATAACATTATCCTGTGTTGAAAGGACGTTTTACAGACATAAATTTTACGCGCACTAACACCTAGATGCGAAATAACTATCTGTGGCTCGCACAAATAGTTGTCCCGTGTGGGAATCGAACCCGCGACCACCGACGCTGAAGCCAATACCAAGGCAACTGCGCTACGGAGTCATCGAAAGCTTAGATTAATATTACTCGACGATTTGTCACACGAAATTCAGTAAACCTTCGACCCTCGTGTTTTCTAACCTATTTAGCATTACCTATCTTTTTTAAACTATCGAAGCGTGAAGGAATATTGGTGTCACAGACAGAAGACATTATTGAAAAGACGCTCTCTCGTGTATAACGGCAGATAATCAAAAGCCAGAAAGAATGGAACGAGGGCATGGCCTACTTGGTGAGAGTAAATTTCTAAAGCGTGTTCAGGCTTTACTTAATACGTTGATGAGAAAAACTCACTGTGTTGAAGTGATTCATGTATTGAAATGAAAGTTTGATTTTAAAAAAATGTTGCGACTAATAAATAAATGCTGCCAACTAATGTTGTGTAATAATTATGAAAATGCATGTTAGGAATTACATTAAAAATCCAAATCCAAATAAAGTTCGCACTGAGAATTAGGTAACTGATAATTTTATAGTGACTAAAGCAAAACAATTATAAAATCAACATTCAATTTTATTTTATTAAACGTATTTTGTACCTTTTTCATTGTTAATATTAAACATTTTAATTTTAAAAATGATGATAAAAATGTATTTATTTATTCATATAAATATATTTATTTATTATATTCATACAAAGATACCTACCTAGTTCACATAAATCCATAATGAACGAATAAGAAAAAGGAAGTAAAGTAACAGCCTATACATATCATACTGCTGGGCAAAGGCCTCCTCTGTACAGAGGGTATCAGGGCATAGTCCACCACGCGGCCCCAATGCGGATTGGCGGACTTCACATATCTTCGAAAAATATTTTTTTTTGTTATTATTTCGAAAATATGCAGGTTTCCTCACGAAGCTTTCCTTCACCTCGGAGCACGTGATAAGTCAGCACTTAAAGTTAAACACTTCATTGGTGCCGGCACCGGAGATCGAACTCAGGTTGCTCGAGTATATTGAATTAAAGGCGTGCACCCGGACAGTGAGCTATCATGGCTCTAAGAAAAAAGAAATATTTGCATAATTTATTGTCTGTCTTCAATGAAGTAAATAAATACATATAAAATCCAATATTTCGTCAGTATTAATGATTCTGCCAACCCTGTAGTTGCAAGCGCATCGAATGCAAATAAAGATGCACGGCCAACGCGACGCGTGCTGCACAAATGTGCCCGCGCTGTTAAATTTAATTTTCGAACGCATTCGTTCCCTGTTGCCGCGCAGTTATCTAAGTATACAATAATCCATATAACTAGATTATAAATGGCTAAAAATTAAATTTGAACGATGTTTAATATCGTAGTTATGCGTTGAAAACATAGAATGACATTTTTGTCGACACGAGTTGTTATAACGACATAATTATTACACAAGCCGACCTTAATTTCGGGGTTAACGTACTGGCTTATAAAAAAAAAAATCAAGTATATGTCAAGAGAACATGCTTAAAACATCTTTTTAACATCTATATCATATTATTTATAAGTAACAATATTAAAGACATTTTATATTTTATTTTGCTAGTTTAATATCACAAAATACGTACTCCAATCATAAATAATATAAATCGTATTGATAGAGCATTTAATCTGGCGCGCCACAACTCACCAGAGTAACAACTAAAAAGCTCAACGCGGCCAATTTCTTTTACTTAAATTGCAGCTGTTACTATTTAAAAATTATGTGCTCGAGAAAATGTTTTCAAACACAGCAACATGGTTACTCGTATTATGTTACCTTGTTATATATAAATTTCAGTAATATATTAATTTAAAGATCTAAAACACGGTGCCACGTGTAAAGGGTAGACTGCTAATGCTAGTGGTTTCAACTTTTAATCAATCTTCAACATTGACAGGTGATGACATATATGTGTAATTGTATGTAATATATGTATGTAATGTACGTCATTGTTTTTTGGCTGTGTGCGTCAAATTGAGAATTGAAACGTGAACTTCGAAGATTATCCTCAATCTAAGTTGTAAGGTGGTAGTGGTGAAGACCACACTGTATGTAATGTGTCGACATATCATATCGAGAGAGATATGATATTTCCACGAGAAATATAAAATTAAGATTTTATTCATTGGCTGAACAACCAACAAAATAAAACACGAACCGAAGTATACATTAAAACATACTAAAAAATAACTGAATTGGAGGCAAGACGATTTCCTAACGAAAAAGTAACAAAAAAAGTACAAAAAATAAAAAAATTACAATTGTATCATAGACCATTCAAAAACTGAACACCAAAAAAGTAAAACACGAACCGAAGCAGGCATTAAAACACTAGCACCAAAAATAACCAAAAGGGAAATTTCATAATAAACAACTTTTTATTAGTAACAAAAGTACAAAAAAAACCAGAATAACATAAGTTTATCGAGACATTAAGAGCAGGGCCACGTAGCAGCTTCTGTTGTTGCACGGATGGGCCAGGCTTGTCTGCGGAATTCCCACGGCGTCATAGAAGACCGGCGTGAAGTAGAAGAATTACACTTTCGTGTTTCGTCTGGTAAGTGTGGTAGTCGGGTTCAATTTTAGGGTTCCCCACCCAGAGGTTAAAGCGGAACCCTATTGCTAAGACTCCGCTGTCTGCCTGTCTGTCTGTCTATCCGTCTGTCACCAGGCAGTACTTTCACAGATGATGTATTTCTGTTGCCGCTATAACAACAAACACTAAAAAAACAAAATAAAAAGATATTTAAGTGGGGCTCCCATATAACGGACAGGATTACCGCAAATTAGCCGGCAACGCCTCTACAACACGGTAATCACTTATCATCAGGTAAACCGCCTAGTCGCCAACTTTTCACATTAAAAAAACTCACAATATGAATGGTTTTTGCTCCCATGCCTGTTATTGGGAGCGTTCCAGCAATTGAGTCACGAGGTTACACAAACGGCTTCGTCCTCGGACCCTTTCATCGAACGGCTGGCGAAGCGCATTCATGTATTTAGATTAGTTCAACAGATGCCCAACAAAAAGCCATTGTGATCGCGTAATTGAAGACATGTACGTCGTGGTAGCAGCTCAATAAACGTATTGCGATTGAAATTTAATAGATGAATAAACCAATCATATAATCATCATAATTATGTTGTAAGTGCATTTGGCTCGGTTTTTCACGACCGGCCGCCTGCAGCTGTGGTAGGGCCACGCGACAGTTTTCACTGTTGCACGAATGGGCGGGTCCGTCCGGGTAATTACCGCGACCTCACAGAAGACCGGCGTAAAGTAGAAGCGTTACACCTCTGCGTTCCGTCTGCTGAGTGAGGTAGCCGGGGCCGACTTTATCTAAAGGTGGCAACGCATTTGCAACCCTGCGGGTGTTGCAAATGTCCATGGGCGGCGGTTATTACTTAACATCAGGCGAACCGCCAGCTCGTTTCCCACTTTTTCACTTAAAACAAAAACCCTACTCGGGATACAAATACCCATATCTGGAACAATTTTCTGTGGGTCACACAAATACATGTGGGAATCAAACCCACGACATGCATAAACCTAACATCTACGTTGTTCCAAAGACCCACTTAGAATTATCTTGATTTATCCCCGTCATATCTTACAAACTTCTTTTGTGAATCTTCTTTAGCTTGATACATTATACAGGGTGGCTTTTCTAAAGGTGCCCAAATTCACATAGGAGGTTCAGTCTCGGTAGTATAATCGTTTATTGAAATAAAACCTTTTTCAAAAAATTGCCTTTCCATTCCTTAGAAAACAGAATTTGTTGACAATGCGATAGTCATTCATAAATGCGTCGTATACTTTGGAAACGAACTTATGTGCGTGTTTGTTATGAATGATCGCGCGTAAAATAAATGAGTTACCCATAAATCACGCACTTTTTGAAATATGTTCAAATGAATGTATTTAATTACGAGTGATTTTAAATATTTATCATTTTTATATAATATTATTTATGTCTAGATTTTAATTAAAAAAATGGATACTATTAAAAAAGCCACCCTGTATAAAGATCTGGATATCTTTCTTTATCTCTGGATATCTTTCTTTTATGCCATTTAATTTGTATTACCCCATCAGACATACACACATAATTATGCTTTTGGCTGAATTTTCTAAAGATACTTAAGAAAAAACTATTCCAGTTGACATTCTTGCTAAAAAGCAACCTTGGTGTGGTGCGCGAATAATATAGACAAACTATTCATGGCTATTATCGTATTAAATTTTCTGTAATGGGTGATGCAAAAATTTCGAAATCCAATTTAAAAGCTATAATAAATTTTAAAATCTGAGATAAGAGAATGAGTTCTTCTATAGGTGATGGAAAATGTTGGTGCCTATTACAATTTTTGAGTCATCCAAACTTGGAAAAGAATTTAAAAGAAACTAAATATCAACAACTTCTGGTTTTCAGTGACAATAAGTGAATTAGACTGGTAACACTAAATCAACAGAATGGAGGTCAGAGGGTCGCTTATGTTGGCTCTACGTGACAGAGTTTAATTGTTAGGTCACTACGAACACTTGCACCCGACCGCTGCTCTGAAATAATGCAATGAGTTTTGATTTATCACGCAAACACAAGCTTTCAGCATAACAATGATTTTTCATTGTTTTGCTGAAAGCTTGTGTTTGCGAACACGCAAAAATTCGAACACGCAAAATATTAACAATTACGCTATGTACATCAGTTAAGGAAAGTAAATTAATATATAAAACTCAAAATTGTGGTAAGTGATAATTGTAAAGCCACAACTAAAATGCCAAACCTAACTCATTATAGGAAGGGTTATTTATAAACCCTTATGTTCGTAATTATTTCGAATGGATTAATATTCAATATACCTACATAAAATTTGGCGATTTATAAAATATATTACATTCTGATGGAAGAAATTAATTAGGAATAGGTACCTAAAGAAAGAGTTAAAATATGAAAATGTAGCTATTGGAACATTGTAGTGTGTTAAATTAGTGTTGTTTTTATAATTGCTCTATACGAGTCTGTTAATTCCTTCGGATTTTTATTCAAGTATCTTGATATAAACAGGAGTATACTAAACTAAATAAGTCCTTCTACGGTGTAGCGATATAAGTATTTTAAGATTATTTTTTTTATTCATTTTTAATTCAAAATCCAAACTTCTCCACATCACAATTTTTTTAACATTCTCAATATTTCACTGTAACTTTAATGTTACGAGTGTTGTCCAACTAAAAATAGGTGAGAATTGAATTTACTCATAAAAATGTTCCATCTATTTTATGTGTAATATACAAAACAAACATAACAAACAATATAGCTACTTTTACGTTGCACAGTCAAGCATCAGCCGTTTCTGGTTAAAATTATACTGTAAAAAACATGCCGTACCAACTCAAGGCTGCGGTCCACCGAGCACAATGTGTTGCCAGTCACACGGCCCGTTATGAATAATGGCTTGAGTCATAGATGGATTTACATAGATGAGGTTCAAGCTAGACGGGATTGGAATGTAGTTTTTATATGAACTCTCAGCAACGTGAGAACCACCCATCCACTTACTTTCCTCTTACTCCAACTGGTTCTTTAATACTCATCCCAGTGAAGTTGACTGCTAAGTACCCAGTGACTAAGTTAATACTGTGAAATCGCAAACCTCCAATGTGACTGACCGACAAAGCTTATGAAACCCCTACGGTATCATGGCCATATTGTTCGCTTATTATCTGGCGAACGTGTTTCTCCTTTGACGAGTCAGAGTGATTTCAAACCGTTCTTTCATCAAGTGCACAGAGCCCTAAGGAAACCGCGAACGGTTCTCAGGCCAATCGCGCGCGTAGAGGGCTCCCAATTAAAATTCCCGGCGAAACGAGCAGACGAGTCGTCATCTGTCTCGTGGAGTGCGACCTCCAAAACATCCGGCGAGGTCAAGCCGTGAGTCAAGCTGTCTCGCAATGGCTTCCGGCGGCGGACGGATTCCAGTGTTAGCAGGTCGACTAAATTGTAGAGTAACAGCATATAAAGTCCCACTGCTGGGCAAAGGCCTCTTGCACTGAGGGTATTGCATAGTCTACCACGCATTCCCACTCTGTGGATTGACAGACTTGACATATCTTCGAAATATTTTTTTGTAACCATTTCGAAAATATGTAGGTTTCCTGGCGATATTTTCCTTCAACGCTGAGCACTTGATAAGTCAGCAGTTAAAATTAGCAATTTCATTAGCACTGGCACCGGGATTTGAACTCGTGCTGCTTGTGTGTATTAAAAGCGAGCGCCCGGGCACTGAGCCATCACGGCGCACTAAATTGATTCCAGTTTGAATCCGACCATGTGCGTAGTTAAGCAGTAGATGAAATTGGATCAGCAGATGGAGTTACCTCTTAAGAGGATAACAAGCGGGTAATTTGTATAGACTACGCTCAATCTATATTTATCTATATTATACCTTTGTATATAAGAGATTTCCACCGATAGTTGACTCATCACGATATCTCTGGAACCATAAGGCGTAGAGACTTGAAATTTGCTAGGAATATTCCTTTCGCCGAGTAGACGTCAGCTAAGGATTTTACGAAATTCCTCAAAACAACGTTTGATCCAGATCAGCTAGTTATATTATGTACAAATATTAGGTAGATGTGTCACTGGTGCACCGAAACTGAGGCACTCAAATTATTTGCAATCAATTAGATCGCAATTCTATAGCCTGCTATCTCTTTCCGTATCATACGTTCTATATCATCAGTCAAATTCACTTACACATGTCAAATAATGTAACCGGGAAAAATATTTGAACGCCGCGCAGTATGGACATGCGTCATTTATATTATTAAACATCATTGACTAAGCTAACAAGAGTGAATAAGAGGCGGTAATTCTTCAGTGAACATGTTCCCAATTTCATTTAAATAATACTTGTGTAAGTGAAAATGGAGGCGCTATTTTATGACGTTGATTCAAGAGATGGTGGCAAAGAAACGAGTGGTCCAGCAGTGAGTGATCACCCCTACACGAGGACATCTGCAACACATGACGGTTACATTATTACAAGAATATTGCGTAGACACAAAGTAACTCATGCAACGCACCAGACCAGATTATGACCATATTAATAAAAGGAACTTAATGGCGATTCACGCGACAAATCATTACACCCAACACCAAAAACTGAATTTTGGTCGTATTAAATTAACAAATTGATGGATATATTTCATCGCACATTTAAAGAGCTAAAAACATGAAAATACCTTTTTTTTAAATTTAAGAAACACTAGCCATTTCTATGGGGTTCATTGATAAAATTAACCAAACGTTTCCCGTGTATTTGTGTGTCTAGTCAAATGTATGTTATATAATCTCCACATCGCGGGAAGGAAGTGTGCGGGCGTGCAGTGTTTTTAAAATATCGTCTGTATGCTCGCATGGATTCTATGTTTTTTTTAATGCTCTCAATCGGATACGCTCGATCTCTGCTCTCCGTCTACTCTGTGGCAATTGTCAGTCGGCAGGTCATGATGAATAAAACACACAATGGCACGCGGCATCGATCCGTTCTAGGCTTGGAACGATTTACCGCACTACATTGTTGACGATTACATCCGACTAGATAGTATGCATAGATTGGTTGCAATTATGGTCGAAATTTGACCATAATTAATTATCCATGGTAGTGTGTGTAATGTTTTATGCATAATTTAAAAAAAAATAGCATGCTGCACTCCTTCTCTATATAAAGTACTAGCGAACCGCCCCGACTTCGCACGGGTGCAATGTATTATACATATAAACCTTTCTCTTGAATCCCTCTATCTAGTAAAAAAATCGCATCAAGATCCGTTGCCTAGTTTTAAACATCTAAGCATACATAGGAACAGACAGACAGCGGGACGACTTTGTTTTATACTATGTAGTGATAAGTGTGGGAAATTTCATACACCTCCGTCGAGTCAACGCAATTTTCGTTAAATGCTTCACGTATTAATTTTCATGTTATTTTTTTTCACGAGAATATTATATTTGATGAGCTCAGTCACAACAACGGTCGAATGAAAAATGTCGGTTTTATCAGCTTTTCCTTCGTAGTACATAATGGTCCGTGCAATACATAAATATATTACTATTTAAAAGAAAACAACACAAAGAATTAAAGCGAGATAGAAAATTGCTGTTTGTCTCTCAAGTCTACAAATTACGATGGGCTAAAGTACAATTGATTTTCTTAATTACACATTGTAGCTTAACATACGTGAAATACTTCAAGAAAATTCTTCAAACCGTAATAAGGTTTACATTTAAAGCGATGGTAAGCACCAATATGATGTACCGATGTTACCCGCAAACTTACATCAGATAAATGACAGGGAGACGCGTACAGTGCAAATCGTGTTGCCAACATTAATTTCTTGGAGATGCTTTATATTATGCAATTACCTATATTGAAACTAGCTTTTCGACCGTGGCTTCGCTCGCGTTGAAGCCCTTAAATAAATATCTTTCTTTAATATGTATCTATATATTTTAAAGTTTTTTCCAATTAAAAAATAGCCTATGTCCTTTCCCAGGCTCTAGACTATATGTGTACCAAAATTCATTTAAATCGGTTCAGTAGTTTTGGCGTGAAAGCGCGACAGACAGATAGAGTTACATTCGCATTTATAATATTAGTATGGATTATATGCAACTTATATTGAAATCTTTAAAATCTACGTGGTTTGAATGAAAAGAAGCGATAGTTTAGTTAGTGTATATTAATATGATCGTTATAACCGATCCCGGAGCGCATAAACGTGCTACAGATGAAGGTGATTCCGACGAGGCTAGAGAAACATTTACATTGTTGGCATACTATCCGAACTTCTATCATTGTAAACAGTGCAAGACCGCGTGTCCACTATCCCCGAGTCAGTTTCATTTTTTCATTTGGCTTATTATATAAAATTATTATTCGTAAATTAGACCTATTTTTATTTATAACTCCTATTTATCGCCAGCGGTGTTGAGATCCATTTTTGTCGACCTCTGGTAGTTTAGTAAACGTTCTGCTAAATAAACGAGTTCACGGACTGTTAAGGACACTGATACCCTGACCCACATTTTTTTTGGACTTAGCGCGCAAAATAAATGTAGCGATGTTATAGATAGTGCTCTTTTAAAAAAATTCACAAAACTGTATACAACCGTAGTAAAAATATCTCATATCTGATTTTTTTAAATTGCTCTTACTTTAGGATAACATTATCCTTTGTTTTAAGGACGTTGTACAAACATAAATTTTAAGCGGATAAACAACCAGATGCGAAAAAACTTTCTGCGTGTCGCAAAAAATAGTTGTCCCGTGTGGGAATCGAACTCACGACCCCCGACGCCGAAACCAACACCTTGGCAACTGCGTCACGGAGTCATAAAATCTATTCCGTTTGGCAATATTCCACACGAGAAGATCTGACGGTGCGTATACAAAACTTCATAGCACGCGACACGCGTTACCGTCGCACAATGGGCACGCGCAACGCCGTCCCGCCGGGGCTTGGCAACGGATCTCGCCGGCGTCACGCCTCCGCCACGGTCTCCGGCGGTCGTAAAGCTATTGTTAGTCGATCCCGGCCGGGGTCCCTACGGGCCCCGCGAGCCCAACGCATCAGGGAGACCAGCGGCGATTGAAGCATCCGTTTGCGGTAGGTCGTAAGCGGGCGTGGCGTACGTGCCGCAGTCGCATAGTAGCACGCACTCAACCACACGTAAGAATGAACATAGCGGCGTATCTATCTACTAACATTTGTTTTAAGAACGGTTCACCTTATAATGGATAACTACCGCCCATGGACAACTACAACCATTAAAAAAATGGGCACCGATTTCCTCAGTCATCAGATGAAACGCGAAAGTATGTAATTCCACTTAACGCCGGTCTTCTTTGAGCTCGTGGTATTTTCTCGGAAAATTCTACCCATTCGTGCAAGATTAGAGACTCCAAAGACACTCCAAAGAATTCGCCTGGAAAAGTTTTATCGGCCTCAGTACCTCCAGCTGTCAGAGATTTTTCCAGTTGTCAGCACTAGCTGTCACAGATTCATAGGTTTATGCTGCTGAATTAGTAATTGCTATTCGTATTCAGAATATAAACTCGTTCAGTTACACACAGGCGCGCGCGCACACAGATACACACGCAAGTCGTTAACATATAGTACACAATTTCATTTTCTTATGGCCCATTCAAAATGGGCATAACAAACCGATTAGACTTAACGTTTCCACCGGTAAGTCAGGACTTTGGAAGTTGACCCTTTTGTGTTAACGGTGTATCTACAAACTCTTACCACCAAAATGATCTTCTTAATGATCTTTCTGATCTTTAAGAAGATCATTTTGGTCAATTCAGAGAGTTTAACCATCCTTTTGGCAACTAAAATGAAATTTGAAAAGCCATTTGACAGCTGATTAGTTAACATCTACTATGATCAGTGTTTCAGAAACAGGGCGTTAGTCTTAGGGACGAAAACAAAAGCGTCACTCAAATGGTCAACCGACTTTCAACGTTTGCCATCCTAATTCAAACCCTATTCGCACATGGCACACGGCGTGTATTAATTACCCTCTGTCCTCTCAGTGCTCTTGAATCGACTTCAGACACCTTCACGGTTGATTAGAGCCCGACACAAAAACACACTGCTCATTACCATGCGATTAGTGACTACCCGTCGTTACGGCGAGAACGCGGCGAACCGTTATACATCACTACATAGTATAAAACAAAGTCGTCCCGCTGTATGTCTGTCCCTATGTATGCTTAGATCATATGAGATCTTGATGCGGTTTTTTTATTGGATAGAGTGATTCAAGAGGAAGGTTTATATGTGTAATACATTGCACCCGCGCGAAGCCGGGGCGGGTCGCTTGGTAGTAATAATTATCGATGCTTAGTGCTGATATTCAGCTGTACGAATTATCAACAAGGCCATCGTTCAAGTAGAATTGGGTACATACACGTTTTGTTTATGACCGGGAATGGAGTAGCCTACGTCCTAGGCTGGCCCCACAACTTACTGTGGTAGGGTGCAACAGTGTTCGCTGTTGCACCAATGTGCAGATCCGTCCGGGGAAGTACGCCGACCTCACAGAAGACAATCATCATATAAAACTTAACGCCACATTGTAAATTATGTTCTATTGATAAAATTCAAATTCTGTTTTTCAATTGGACTTAATAATTATAACGCGGCGAGGCTATCAAACAGTACCTATCAAGCGAAGCATTTACATTTGCTATAAAGTTATTATTTAAGAGAAAACTTATGTAATATACATGAGTTAAATCTATATTTTTAAAATGCAACACAAGAAAAAGGCACAAATAGCGTACCCGTATGCCATTAGCCTGAATTCTGGGCCAATTCATGACACACGCAACATTAGATTGCTAACATGATAATTTATAGGAATAATGAATAATAATTGAAAAGAAAACTTCTATGCGACTACTATGAAAACAAACCAAACTATTCTTAACTGAACATCACCAAACTCTCATGAACGAGCCCTTAGCTTCTTCGGACACATATGCGGTCGTTACGAAATTGTGGAAAGCGGGCGCGGGCTTCTTAGAAATTATCACATCAATAGACACAATTTATCATTCTATTATTATAATCTGACTGGTCCTGGTTAGGATACCAAGTTCTAGTCGTCAAATAATTCTATCATGATTGGTTATAATAAACACCAAACTTATAACAGCTTTTAATAACTCTAGTAAACGATAGCGCCTTTATTTGAATCACAATTAATTTTAGTTGCAACTACAATGCCCGTAAACTATGTCCGTCTGTGCAAAGCTTTCCTTGAGCTACTATTCTCATACCATAATAACAAACTGGCTATATAGCCTATAAGTAAACTTAAATAAAATTCAAATGACAAAATAAAACAAAATATATGAAAAATAATAAACAATAAACTTAAAACTAAAAACCTAAAAAAATATATAAAATAATAACTAAAATATATTAATTACTAAAAGGAGTCCCTTTAGGCAAGGTTCCGAAGATACTGCCAGCGTTCCTCCTTTGTATATTCATAAGTCGAACATAGGAATGTCTATGGCATCTTAATTGGGATAAGGTTTTCGCTGCACGTTAAATAATTATTACCAATGGATACGTTCCAAGTCGATATCAAGCGTGTCGATTACTAGAAGCAGTTGCCAAAATATTAATTGTGTTGTTTTCGTGTCTGTTGAGAGACCAAAGCCTATTAACTATTACATTTCCTGTATGAAATGTGCCGAGGAACGCTCGTGTTGTGTGTTCCCTCAATAGATATAAATTGTATAGTAAAGTCATCATCAGCCTATACATGTCCCACGGCTGGGCAAAGGCCTCCTCTAAGGAGTGTATCAGGGCATAGTACACCACGCGGCCCCACTGCGGATTGGCGGACTTCACATATCTTCGAAATATTTTTTTTTATTATTATTTAGAAAATATGCAGGTTTCCTCACGATGTTCACCTTCACCGCTGAGCACGTGATAATTCAGCACAAATTAACAATTTCATTGGTGCCGGCACCGGGGATCGAACTCAGGTTGCTCGAGTATTTACTGAGCTATCACGGCTCTAATTGTAAAGACCAAACCTTTATTGACCTTTTCTGTATATTATTTTATATGTGTATATTGTAACAATTAATATGTTAATCAGATTGTGAACGATTGTGTAGATTTGAGATTATAGATTTTTGCCTCAGACAAAACCAGTAACTAGGGGAGTTTCTGAACAAAAACTTCGTTGAACTAAATAGGTCGAGAAGTTTCTGAGTTCGCTTTTAATATGGGGAGCTCCAATGGATAATTTAAATCCAATGGGTCGCATTAAATATACTAATCCTACGGGACTTTCAACTCGTAAATTAGTTGTCCACAGTTCTACACTAAACAGGAGATACGAGGGTTAACCAAATAAAATAAGAGTTAACTACTAAATAACGTACCAAAAGTTATGTTTTCGTTAAATTAGGGTTATTAAATCGGAGCTAACATTAAAACGCCAATTTTGTTTGAAATTGGGGAAGATTTGGGTATTTCTATCGCTTCAATTAAATTCTACCGGATTTAGTGCAATATCAATAACCGAGGTGTTCTGAGTGGGAAAAATGTCGGTCGGTCCAATGTACAAACTTACTTGATACTTTCATATTTTTAATGATCGTTTGTGTCAGTTGCTTCTTCCGCTATAAAGAGATTTTAAAATTTAAGGGCCTTCAAGGAAAGAACCTATGAAGGAATTAATAGTACTCCCTTAAAGGTTGTCAAGGTCTTTTTAAATCCTCTGGCTATTGGCGACGGTGGTAACTTACCATCAGAGAACCGTTTGCTATTTTGCCACCCTTTCTTTAAAAAAAAAACAACAAAATCCCATGCCTCATGTGCAAAATCCCATGAGCAAAAAATGAAAATCCCATGACCTCAGTGAAAATCCCACAAAAGATGATAATTCCACAAACAAAATCCCATGACCTCAGTGCTCGCCATGTCTGGAAATATATGATCTCGGTGAGACGTTTTATTAAGGACGTACGGACGTATTGGGCTCCGACCCATTGAACTTCAAAATTGAAATGCAGGAATCTGTATTATCATCCGACCGTGTGTACACGTGTGTGTACCGGCTGACTGCCACGAAACACATTGACTTCCCGCACATTTGCACAGGTCGTTACCCCTTATAGTGCGGGGTCGTCCTACACTATGATGGCTAATACGAGACTGGTACTGGAGAACCATTCTTTTCAGTTATCGGTTCTTCGAGATAAGACCGGCCCATTGCCTTCTCAGCTTACTAATCCACGGAACCATGTCGATATAGTTCTTAGTGTGTATTTCAAAACTACAAACGATTGATCGATTACATTTCCAATCATAGTTTTATTTTATCGCATTGTTTAACCGTTACAATGGGACAATAACAACGTATACACACTGAGCTCTCTACCAAAACTAAAGTCTAAATATCTTAGCCAGCTACTTGATAGAATTTTATGTGTCAGTAAAAATTATTTCAAACTCCAACATTCCTGCAAAATTCCTATACTAATGTCTATTTATTTACAAGGGCTGAACTATAATTAGAATAGAACTTAGCTATAATTTTGTGTTAGAGCCACACAGCGGTCCTCGCTGTTGGACGAATGGGCAGGACCACGATCTCACCGAAGACCAACGTGAAGTGGAAGTGTTATACTTCTGCATTTCGTGTTAGATAACTGGGGCACTCTGTATTGAAAGGTGGCAACGCATTTATAGCCCTACATTGCGAGATGCAAATGCCCGTGGGCGGCGGTTATCACTTAACATCAGTTAAACCATAATACTCATAGCTCATAAGACATCTTCTTACGAAAAAAAAAAAATAGACTAGGCAATCTTCATCTAAAAGGCAAAACGCTATCGCTCCTACATCGCGGCAAACGACGCTAAAATATTTTCGGCGCGCGCGCACTCTATCGGCTGGGTCGTCAATCCAAATGTTCGGCCGACTAGAACTCTGTACATTATCTCCGTTGGAGTAGCGCCAGCAAGAGAGCTCCACCGCTCTAGCACTCGATACAGATTATATTTTTTTTCTTAGGTCACTTTATTATATTTGCGCCGTCGTTCGTCGGC